GTAATACGATGCTTTTCTACGGTATTGGAGTTGTTTTATGTACACCTGCATGGATTCGATTTCTCGAACGAATCTTGCTGTGTTCAATTTCAACGTGAAGAAAGCATTTTAATCTGTTTTCAGTATTAATACGTGTTCATTATTATTAGAAAGACATTTTCTGAGATTGGTAATTACTACTTTTCAAATGGTCTGAATNCTAATTTTCTCCTCACATCAGCATTAGTTGGGGAGAGATTTATTCATATATTTCAGACCATTTGAATTTATATTCGCCATTCCATTGTCAGTATAATTAACTCGCTTACTTGTTTCAAGCGAATAGATAAATAAATGAATAGATCTTCATGCAACATCTTTTGGGAAAATGTTGGTTGGTTTTATTTGTGTACTTAAATATTGGCATATGTGAATGATGCAATTGGAAACATTCAAAGTTTTAATCGCAATTCTGTACTTCTTTAATAATCGCGATTCCGTATTTTGTACAAATAATCAATGTGATTTCGTGGAACAGAGCTGAATCGCTTCAAACGCTCTCTAGAGAAGTTACAAAGTTTTATGCTAAAATTTTCAAATTGGTCAGTTTCCACACTTCGTACATAATGATTATCCTACGTAATAGTGGTTTATTTCATTGTCAGTCACCTGCATCGATGAATATTCGCTCTCATCAATATTCCACTGATAACGAACTGAATAAGGTGGTGATTATCAAAACAGGATAAGTGAACCGAAGTGCTAATCGATAGCATTTCAAGTTTACTGATGAAATTGCATAAAATCGCAATTTTCTGACGATAACAATTGAAGTTCGAAGAATGAAGGATAAAGTTCTGAAAGAAAGAGAATGAAGGAATTTCGAATTCTGAAAGATTTTCCTAAGGGCACTCGTCTGTGCTCAGAACAATTTTTTTCACTTTGCTTTAGTCGCTGCCCATCACTTTTTATGCATCAATCAAAATAAATGTTGTGAAAGACTGAGGAAAGTTTCGAGGTTTGTTTTGTGACGAAATTTTGTTGAAAACATTTCGATATTTTGATGATCAGTCATTCGATTCGAGTTATTTTTTCGATTCATAAATACGTTCGATGGCTTCCTTTTTTTTCCAGTTTTTCAGCAATATCCCTCAACACAACTGCTCAACAGGTGGTTGGCTGCCCATAATTCCATTTGATTTTTCCCATTATTTTTCACCCATTATCCTCACATACTCACTTGAATTGCTGTTTGATCGAGATTACTCTCATTTTCTATTTGTTCAGTCGAATGGGCTCGTTTTCTGCAGTTTTGTTTGGCTCGGCAGAACCTTAAAGGTTTTGATGGGATGCCTTCCGGATTTTTGAATTTAGTATTCAATTTTTTTAAAATAATTATAAGCAGTCAGTTTCACGAATTTTCACGATTCAGTCGATGAGGATTCAAACGCTCAACGGATAACCAGTCAAAAGAGCACACATCCGAAACTTGTGAAAGCGCATTATTGAAAAAATTGTTTGTTCATTTTCTCCAACAACAACGTTCATTCGCTAAGAATCAAGATACAATGAAAATATGTTTATTGAATGTTGAATCGTAATGCATATGTTGAGTCATGAAACAATGACTGTTCGTTGATCACAAATATGAATGTTTCATCGAGTTGTCATCGATCGACTTCGATGATAAACTTCGATCGAGGACAACGATGAATACTGAAATTAATTTCAGTATGACGGTCGTGGAGGCAGCAAAAGCAGTCACAGCCTACTTTATGCGTTCAACGCGTAAAGAATGGCTTGACTACTTCATGTCAACTCATTTTTGGGGTCCACTCGCCAACTGGGGACTACCGTTGGCAGCGATTGCTGATATCAAGAAGGATCCGGAACAAATTTCTGGTCAGTTTCAAATTCAGTTTCTCGTTTAGGTCTTTAGAAGTTTCTTTCGTTATTCTATTCTTTCTTTCGTTATTTCCTTCGTTATCAATATTATCAGAACTGATAAATGAACGAAGTAAACATATCACATCTTACTCACTATTAGTTATTATGCTGTATTGCTGTTTCAATTGAATGATCATCAAGTTTCGTAAGAGAATTCTCCGCAAAAACAACTCTAAATGGCGAAATGTTTGTTCAGGTTCGATGACTCCAGCAATGATATTGTACTCATCAGTATGTATGCGATTTGCATGGCACGTAATACCACGAAACACCTT